TTTTGGTGGACTTGGTTGTGGCGGGTCAGGGCAAATCTGATGTTAACTGGCACATGTCTGTTTACATCTGACTCCCCATAGACCTAACATGGGTCCAGGAAGTTCATGTTTTCCTCTTTTCCTCTATCGCAAGATGGGCATTAAAAAACTGGATCGATGCAGATATCACAATGGTGATACCGTTCCTAACTGCTCCGATCAGCAGGGGATTCATGCAAGGATCCCCTGCTGATCGGAACTGACAGTTGCCCATGTCAAAAGGACCTAAGTGACCAGTTTTTTAAGTGGTCAGCTTCACGGTGTAGCAGAGAGAGAGAGTCCAGGCTCCAAAAGTATATTTTCATCCTGTCCATGTTTATTTATCAGCACTGAATCAAACAAAAAAAATCCCTTGCAGGGGTTCTGTGTCAGCACAGTCCAGCAAATTGCACAACATTCAGTGTCCTGGCTAGCTGTGACACAATCTTGGTCCAGCACAGCCTGCATGCACTCTCTCTAATATACACACTCACCCCAGAGAACACTTAGGCCTCATTCACACTGCCACGCATATACGCGCGTATTGTACCATATGCAGAATATGCAAATAAATGGCTCCATACACATGGCTGCGTATGGAGCCGTATATTTGCGTAGCGTAAAAACAGAATGGAACCGAGATGCGTATTTCTGCTATTTTTCTGCTATTTTACGAGCGTACAGTTCATTAAAATCTCTATTACAAATGATGCATTCTGGGATTGCATATAGTGCACACATATACGCAAATGCGTGTATATGCTTATACATACGCCTGTACATACGCGTATATACGCAATATACAATTTTGCTCTTGCGTTGTGTGTGAATGAGGCCTTAAATTGTGCACCAGCTGGGAAAAAGGATATTTGGACAGCAAAAGTTTTTTTTTTTTTTTTCTGGCACACCTCCCACCTGTTGGAATGGCATAGCTCAAAAAAAAACAACATTTATTTACTGTTGTCAGTGGAAGTACACGTTTCTTTGCTCCTCAAGCTTTTGACTGTCAATTATATATAGTATACATAATGGCAATCAGAGGGTTAAAACAAGTCAGCCATGAGCTTATTTAAAATTTTAGCCAGGCCCTGTGCATATTGTAGATGTGACTTGGGTAGTTTGAAAGTCACCCAGGCTCCTCTACAACAACATTTCTTCACCATGACCTAAACACGCTGTGGTTTATGTCAGTGGCAGCTCACCATTCTCACTAAATGAACCCAAAAGGACTTACCTCTGAGCCCTTCCTGGTTTATTGGTTAAGTGTGCCTGAGCTGCAGACAGGGTGGCTCTGTTCCTAATCTGCATCTTCTGAACACAGAAGTGGCATCAATGGTCTCTTTAAACAATTGATGTCCCCATAATGGAAAACTGTCATATCCGTATTCATTATCGCAAAGGGTGCATGTCAGTTCTCTTGTAACAGGGATAAAGATGAGGACAAATTTACTTTCAAACAATAACCAGCTTCCTGAGCTTAATGACCTAGATGCATATTTTCTTTAATCAGATGGCCGCAACTCACAGCACAGAACTTTTGCCTGTGTGGTTAATACCCATAGAATTCTTCGGGGCCATCCGCTAATACAGAAAATACATGATATGAAATGCTATGTAGCAGACTCGCACACTCCACCCCTGACTGCCAAAGGGTCAGATGCAGAATTTGTAATTTAAAACAAATAATTAGGGCTGCAACAACTAATCGACATAATCGATTATAATCGATTATTGAAAAAGTTGTCAACTTTTTCAATAATCGATTAATCGGCTTCCGATCAGTTGGCCCTGTTCACAGCTCCACACGCTGTGCGCCGCACCTCCTCCCCACCTCACGCTCGCCGCTGCCAGACCCGCCCGCATCCACGCTCTTCACGCCGCACCTCCTCCCCGCCTCACACTCACCGCCCGCCCACATCCACGATCGGCACAGGGACGCGGGGAGATGTAGTAAGGAGGAGCAGGTGTGGGGGGAGGAGCAGGTGTGGGGGGATGACAGCCGCCGATAGACAGGTCCGATCTCAGAAGCAAGTTGCTGGAAGACTGCTCAGGTAAGCCTGCACTTTCCCACACATGGTGCTCTATAATGTATTGCTGGGATTTGTATTCCTCTATAGCTGATGGTACATTGTGCTGTATATTATACATGGGAATACAAATCCCAGCAATACATTATACACTGTATGTATAATGTATTGCTGGGATTTGTTGTATTCCTCTATAGCTGGTGGTATTCTGCACTGCACTGTATAGAGGACTACAAATCAAGGAATAATACATTATACAGCGCAATGCAGAATACCACCAGCTATAGAGGACTACAAATCCCAGCAATAATACATTATACAGCGCAATGCAGAGTACCACCAGCTATAGAGGACTATAGCGGGAGGACTATACCGCCAGCTATAATGTACTATTGCTGGGATTTGTTGTATTCCTCTATAGCTGTTGATATTCTGCATTGCGCTGTATAATGTACTATTGCTGGGATTTGTAGTCCTCTATAGTCGGTGCCATTCTGCATTGATTGCTGTATAATTTTACACTTTCCTTTTCACTATATTGCACACCACACTAGTCCATCACTTGAGCCATTTTTTAAAATGTATTTTATTGTTTATCTGATTAACCAATTAATCGAACTTCATAATCGGCTAACTAATCGATTTTGAAAATAATCGTTAGCTGCAGCTCTACAAATAATCATTTTCAAAAATTGTATTAATTTATCCTGAACATACTACATAATATATTAATAAAGCACTATATAGTACATCCCCTTCAAAACTAAGTCTGAATAATTGGTATTTTGTCTTTGTAGCTTTAAATTCAACTTTGCAAGCTGGAAATGAAGCAAATGATATAGCGAAGTCTATATGACGTAATTGGATTGAAAATTACAACCTGTCATGGTCTCTGCGCCTGGCAGAGTACAGATATACAATGATCGCTACTACTGGTTCCAGTGGACTTTGTAAGTATACTTTGATGTGTCATGTAAGATAGCAAGGTAAAGTCCATGAACCCATCGCACTTGAAACCGCTGTTCTAAAGATGAGGGTGGGTGCTGCGGCTGTCGATGGTTGGAAATCGTGGTCAATATCAAATTAAATATATAGACACCGGCACTCCAATAGCAAGTCAGATACGTGTGTTTATTGCCTTATGAACAGCATAACGCGATACACTCAATGCGATGTTTCCGGGTCTCGCAGGATCCCCTTTTTGATCACTTGTTCTGCCTGATGAAGGGGATCTTGCGAGACCCCGAAACGTTGCATTGAGCATCGCATTATGCTGCTCATACATCAATAAACAGACATATCTGACTTGCTATTGGAGTGCCGGTGTCTATATATTTCATATGTAAGTTAGCAGAACTGACAGTGTCCTCCTCCACTCCTCATCTTACTGTATAATATGACTATATTCTCACCTGATGCACATTTAATACACGTAAATGATCTTTTACACTCTTTGTGAAGGACCCTGTTTAAATAATTTTAAAAGAAAATTTAATTGAGCCAAAATGTCTGCATGCAGACATTTAATACTGGATTTTTCTGAACATTTTTTAGCTTTACTGAAGTGATTCAACCATTATAGATAAATTGTAACTGGTACTCCTACCTTCACTCTAATTTGTGGGGTGAAATTGCTAGTAGATTCTTCCTTGCGAGAATGGTTAATGTGCTAATTGACTTATGTGCCTGTTTATCATTTACATAAGAAGCAAAGGCATAATTCCTTTCCCCCTAAATAAGTTTATAGCCTAAAGCTGGCCATAGACTGGTAGATTTTCATATGAGAAATTCATCCGAAAAATCTCGTCAGAATATTCGATAATGCCATCAGAAACCGGGGCGAATGTCATTCTAAATTTCATGTGGTTTTAGCATTCTATTTTGGAAGCAATGGAGTTTCCTGAAGGAAAACAACATTTACAGGGTTATTCACAAAAGGGTGAAGAGTTTGGAGAAGGCAGGAGAAGTGAACAATCTAAGACAACATAGCTGAACTGGACACTGAGCTGAGTTGGAGACTGTTTCCAAATCAAATACTTTGGCCTAGATTGTTCACCTCTCCGGCCTTCCCCCAAACTCTTCACCCTTTTGTGAATAGCCCTGTTAATGGTAGAATTTCATTCTTTTGGGAAAAATGTTCTATAGTGCTCCTTCTAATTTTTTCATCACTGCGATCTAAAGCAATTGTGGATTCGACTCCATTAAAGTGACACTAAACTCAGGAGTTAAATCCTAAAATGCATTCAAGTACCTTAAGTATTAACAATACTGTACTTTATTTGTGTATCATTCAGCTATAGATCCTCAAATCATCTCTGAATTGGTGCTGACACTGTCCTTCCTTCTGGAGGGTGGCTACTTTTGTTCCCCATGGCCCCTGTGTGTGTGTTTTAAAGTAACCACCACTCCAAGCTCACTCCCATGATGGGACTACAATCTACAAATGAATGAACTAAACGTGAAATTGTACTCCAAACGTAAAACAGAACGTCACCAGCACACCCAACGATGTGGTTAAAGGAGAACTATGAGGTGAGTGATTTTCACTCAACCTCATAGTTCTCAGCGCTGACTGGCTGAACGGACGGGGATGTGGGTACAGCTGGCTCTGCCTCTAGATAGGCAGAGCCAGCTCTCAATCACGCAGCTGGGTGGATCTCGACAGTAATGCTTTGGGTCACGGGAGCACGCTAGTTTGTGTCCTTCCGTGACCCTAAGGAGTACTATCGGGAAAAGCACTGACCCCGTAGTTCTCTTTTTAAGTGTTCATCCTTTATTGATGCATATTGTCACATTGAAGCAACGTTTCAGGGCTGCGGAGGGTCCCCTTCATTGTCATACTGTGCCTGATGAAGGGGATCCTCCGCGGTCCCGAAATGTTGACTCACTGAAAATATGAATTGATAAAGGATTAACACTTGACCACATTGTTTGGTGTGCTGGTGACATTCTGTTTTATGTTTGATGCCTCATTGCCACCTTCAGGGCTACAACACCCACCTTCAGGGGGTTCTTTGGTAAGGAGTGCAGCAGGACATCTTAAGGACTTTAGCCTTTATCTAGCCTGGACCATTGTTTATCCTTGAGTGCCATCAAGTGTCAGATATGCACCTTGGCCATCCTCTTGTGCTTGTCTCTCACTTATTGGTAAAAGTCTTTGTGCAGGGGAAGACGCATGGTTTTCCCCGTGTTTGGGCTCTGGTGACTCTATGGCACCTCTCTCGCATTCTCTCAGCCCTTCAGAATCTGCCCTTTGAACTGATCAGAGATATTTCTCTGCCTGTGCTTACTCACAAGGTAGCCTTCCTCAGCTATCACTTCTGCAAGGCATATTTCTGAATTAGTGGCCATGTTGTGCAAGATGCCCTTTCTCATCATCCATAAGAATACATTTGTACTGAGGTCAAAAGCCTCTTTCTCTCCAAGGTGGTTTCTGTCTACCACACTCCACTAGATATGTTATTACTATTTGGGCTGTTCAACAACAGGGTCCTATCTTCAAGATCTGTAAGGCCACCTCCTGGTCCTTGGTACATGCTGTTGTCATAAAGCTGTGGATAATTCCAAAGACTCCTCAAACAATGATTTTGTTTTTGTTTTTTTTGCAATAAAACCTACAATTCGTGGTGCAAGCAGCTAGAAATATATTAATACTCATCTCTTCTTTGCAGGAGGCACATTGTTTAGACTTTGTATTTTAGCAAAAGAAGAACTCTCATAATTAATAAAATACCGAAGCATAAATGTATGTGCAGATACTTGGCTTTTGTCTCTGCAATCAACCATCTATGTATTTTAAAAGAAAATCTGACCTTTATTGAATGGAGCTGTTCTGCACCTCCCCACAAAGAAGATCAATTTCTTGGTGTTACTCGAGTAGAGCTTAGCTGCCTAAAGAAAGCTCTTATATCTTTTGCACATGTATTAAAAAGAATGACTTAATATATAAACAACTATAATTCCAACAAAGTTGGGCCGCTGTGTAAAATCTGCATAAAAACAATGCAATGATTTGTAAATCTCATGAACCCAAATTTTATTCACAATATATAATAGAAAACAAATCCAATGTTTAAACTCAGAACATGTACCATTTTTAAGAAAAAGAAAAGGTAATTTTGAAATTGAAGGCAGCAACACATCTCCCAAAAAATGGGACAAGGCCATGTTTACCATGGTGTGGCAGCCCCTCAGCCCCTCATCTTTTAACAACACTCTGTATAGGTCTGGTAACTGAGGAGAGCAGTTGCTAGAGTTTTGGGAGACAAATGATGACCCATTCTTGCCTGATATAGGATTGTAACTGCTCAACAGTCCTGGGTCTTCTTTGTTGTATTTTTCGTTTCGCTGCGCCAAATATTTTCAATTGGTGAAAGGTCTGCACTGCAGGCAGGCCAGTTAAGCACCTGGGCTCTTCTACTGCAAAACCATGCTATTGTCATAGATGCAGTATGCGGTTTAGCAATGTCCTGTTTAAATATGCAAGGCCTTCCTTCAAAAAGACAATGTCTGGATGGGATCATATGCTGCTCTAAAACCTGGATATATCTTTCAGCATTGATGGTGTCTCTTCAGATGTGCAGACTGCCCATTCCATACACATGAATGCGCCTCCATACCACCAGAGATGCAGACTTTTTAACTGAGCGCTGATAACAACCCGGAAGGCCCCTCTCCTCTTTAGTCTGGAGGACGCAGCTCCCATTGTTGCCAAAAAGAATGTAAATTTTTGATTCATCTGACCACAGAACAGTTTTCCACTTTGTGACAGACCATTTTAAATTTACTTTGGCCCAGAGAAGATGGTGGAGTTTCTGGATCATGTTCAGACATGGCTTCTTTTTTGTATGGCAGAGCTTTAACCTCAATTTTTGGAGGGCATGTTGAACTGTGTTCACAGACAGTGATTGTTTTACGTATTCCTGAGCCCATGCAGTGATGTGCATCACAGAATGCATTGCTGTCTGAGAGCCTGAAGATCACGGCCATCCAACATTGTGCTTTGTCCTTGTCCCTTGCACACAGAGATTTCGCCAGATTCTTGGAATCCTTTGATTATGTTATGTACTGAAGATGATGATGTATTTAAAGTCTTTGCAATTTTACGTTGAGGAACATTATTTCTGAAATTGTTTGACAATATTTAGACGCAGATTTTCACAGATTGGTGAACCTCTGCCCATCTTTACTTCTGAGACACTCTGATTCTTTCAGATGCCCTTTTTATACCCAATCATGTTACTGACCTGTTGCAACATGTTCCTGCAGCTCTTTCTTGTTAGTACTACTTACTTTGCCTGCTTTGCCCAACTTTTTTAGAATAATTAATCTTTAAAAGCTCCTGCTGGATTATCCCGTACAAGAAACTGATTTAGAAGCAAACTTTGACTTAAAAAAAAACTTCAAGAAGACTCTGTAAAAACTTGAGCGATTTAGAAAGTCTTAAAGTGTTTATTAAACATTTCAGGAAGCTTATTCCTGTGTATGTACATTGCAGTCATTAGAACCACAGCAAATTTAAGGTTGAACAAAACTACCAAAAAAGGCTTAGGACAAACTAGTTTAACCACATTCTAAAATAGGTTTGTTGGCTCATATGTCAGACATTTGTAAAATATAGATTATGACACACCATGTAGATAAAAAATGAACACCACCAGTTGCTGTGTGTTTCATTTTGACAAATACACATTTGGTTATAAATTGGGAAACGTTATCAACTTTTTGTTACCAGTAAGCGGATAAGTTGATATTCATTAGAAGTATGACCAGTTAAATGCTGTCATCTTGCCCATGCAGGTCACCGTAACAGTCCCGTTCCCCCCCAACTCCTTTTATACTTCCCTTACCTGCAGTTTCTTTACACTCCTTCCTCTGTTGCAGCTGGCATTAAAATCAGCTGTGTAGGTGCCCATACGCAGTGCTGACATCATTCCCTTGGTCTTGTGAC